TGTGTAGGATTCCATGGTATAGACGTGCTATCATTTAGCCATTTGCCTACTGAAGGACATCTGAGGTATTTCCAGTTGTCAACAGTGGCTTAAAAGACCGTAGCCTGGGAGTTACCAGCTGCACCAGGGCACACAGGCAGAATTTGGGAGAACTGGCATTCGAACCCTGGTCCGTTTGCTGGAGTCACAGGCGACTACAGGCGGGACACCCACCAGGTAGGTTCGATGGGACATATGCAGACGTGAGGTCATTTGTCATCTGATGCCGTGAAAGTCGTGTTTAAGGAAGATGAATCTGAATCGGTGGGAGCCCAGATTTGTGTCCAGCCCTGGCAAGCGACTTGGGGAAGCTCTACACCACCGTTCAAAGAGAACATCCATTGCTTACTGATGACGAGGACGGACGTATCCACTGATTCGGGTTGTTATGGCAGCATCCAGTTAACAAATATATTCATGGCCAGGAGGAGAAATGGAGCCGAACACGGATGCGCTGGTGGGGTGGGGAAATCACTCACTTGAGAAACTGAGAAACGCTGTCGTAGATGCAGTACTTCCTAGTACAGCCAGGAGCAGATGGGCTCTCTCAGGGGAGTATGGGGACCAGAGACGCCGGGGGCGAGCACAACTCGGAGCGGGAAGAGCCACGGCAAGGGAGACGGCAGGAGGCTCGAGACGCAAGGGGAGAACCAGATGCGGAAACGAAGGTCGGGACGAGGGGGCTCAGCGTCACCGAGGCGGTGGGTGGAGGAGGAAGGAGTGGATCTGTTCTCTGGCGCACATCACGAGTTGACCCAGATCCCAGTGGCTGAAACCGCATGGGTTGTCTCACAGTTCTGTGTGTCAGGAATCTGAGCTGGCTGAGCAGGGTCCTCTGGTCAGGGTCTCCCACGGGTAGCCACCAAGGCCTCTGGCTTCAGATCCCTCAAGGTTGGATGGGGGGGGATCCATTTCCAAGCTCATTCGCGTGCTTGGCACCGACAGGATCTGGTTCCTCGCAGGTTGCCGGAGGAGGCTTCGTTTCAGTGCTGGCTGTTGGCCAGAGGCCACCCTCAGCTCCTTGCCATGTGGGCCTCTCCATGGGGCAGCTCACAAGATGGCAGCCGCCTCATCAGAGCGAGGAAGCAGGAGATGACAAGAGAGCGTGCAGCAAGGTGGAAAAAACAAGAGGATCTTCTATCGCGGAATCTCAGAGGCTTTCGCGTTATTCTCTCTGTTAACCGCAAGCCACTAGCACCAGTCCACACCCAAGGGGAGGGGATCACACAAGGTCTGAACGCCAGGAAGCCATGTTAGATGCTGCCTTCTAAGGGAGCAAAGACAACGTAGCTGGATTTGACCTCAGACCACCCCAGACAGCCTGGGAGAAGACAGTGTCAGGAGTGTGAGGTGCCGAAGACGGAATGGAGGGGGAGTAGGGGAGAGGCCAGAATCCCAGCTGTCCCCAGCACCTCGGAGAGACATGGACACATGCAGGACCTCCACCTCTCTTTATGCAAAGTGCCCACCAGTTCCCAGCTCGGTCACTTGTGGTGCTCACTTCCTGTCGCCCCCTTCCCCAGCAGACGCAGTATTAAAAGAACAATAATATTGGCCGGACTCAGTGGCTCAGTCTGTAATCCCAGCACTTTGGGAGGCCGAAGCGAGTGGATTTTCTGAGCCCACGGGTTCGAGACCAGCCTGGGCAACTTGGTGAGACTTCGTCTCTACAATAAATAATTAAATAATTAGCCAGGCATGGCAGCGCACACCCGTAGTTCCGGCTACTTGGAAGGCTGAGGCAGAAAGGATCGCCGGGGCCCAGCAGGTCGACGCTGGGGTGGCCGGGAGCGGCCACTGCACTCCAACCTGGGCGACAGAGTGAGACTCCAACTAAAAAAATAATAATAATAACAACAATAATAATAGCTGCAATACTCTCATTCCAGCAGTGCAGGAACATAGTGCCTGGCTCACCTTCTCCCTTTCACTGGCTGGCACACCCCTGAAGCCTAGGAACCCCTTCAGACATGGCAGAAGGAAGGCCGAAGCCACAGAGACCTTTCCACACCCAGGGCCTGCACTTGCTCGGCTGCCACAGCCTCCATTCCATCTGGGGAGGGCGAGTCCCCTTCCCTGGGGCCCTCTCCCTCTGGATGTGGCCATCACCCCAGGCCTGTTCCCTTGTACCCCTGCCCGGAGGTCCCGGGGCCACTTGTGGGAGAGACAGGGAGGGCTGAGAAGGTGGACCCCAGGGCTTTCCCACTGGGAGCTGGCAGGGCAGCTCCCAGGGTCTACTCAGGAGGGTGGAGATGGAGTGACGCAGAAACCCCAAAGGGCTGAGGCTGAGGCTGGACATGGAGTTTTGGGGGAGGTATGGAGGAGAATGGCAGGTACAAATCTCAACCCATGTGGCAGGTCAAAAAACGTAGCTAGTTTTAGAAGTCCCCTTTGGGACAAGGGGCATATGGTAGACAGAACAACGACCCCTCCCCCGCACAGAGGTCCACGTCCTAATCGCTGGGACCTGTGAATGTGTTAGGTTACATGGTGAAGGACATAGGAGGCAGATGGAATTAAGGTTAGAGATGGAGAGATGGAGATGGAGAGACTATCGTCGACTGTCTGGGTGGGTCCAATGTAATCACAGGGTCCTTAGAAACAGAAGATAAGGTCAGACATGATGGCTTATACCTATAACCTCAACACTTTGAGAGAGGAGAGAGGATTGCTTGAGCCCTGGTGTCCAAGACCAGCCTGGGCAACATAACAAGGCCTCATCTCTACAAAAAATTTTAAAAATTAGCGGAGCCGGGCTCGGTGGCTCAGTCTGTAATCCCGCGCTTTGGGAGGCTGAGGTGAGTGGATTACCTGAGTCCGCAGGTTCAAGACACGCCTGGGCAACTTGGCGAGACCTCATCTCTACAATAAATCAAAAAAGGAGCCGGGCGTGGTAGCGCGCGCCTGTAGTTCCAGCTGCTCGGAAGGCTGAGGCGGAAGGCTCGCCGGAGCCCAGCAGGTCGAGGCTGCGGTGGGCCGGGAGCGGCCCCTGCACTCCAGCCTGGGGCGACAGAGTGAGACTCTGATTAAAAAAAAAAAAAAAAAAAAAATTAGCTGGGCATGGTGGCACGTGCCTGCAGTCCCAGTTACTCAGGAGGCTGAGGTAGAAGGATCGCCAGAGTGCAGGACACCATGGCTGAGATGAGCCGTGATTGTGCCATTACACTCCAGCCTGGGCAACAGAGTGAGAGCCCGACTCAAAAAGGAAAAGAAAAAAGAAATGGAAGAGTTGGTGTCAGAGTGATGCAACGTGAGGACTCAGCTCGCTGCTGCTGTCTTTGAAGATGGAGGGGCCACGAGCCAGGGAATGTGGGTGGACTCTAGAGACTGGCACAGGCAAGGATATAGATGCTCCCCAGAGTTTTCAGAAAGGCACACAACCAGCCACACTCCCCTCTGCTCTGAGCTGGGGGAGAGCCAGGGAGCTGCTGAGAGCTGGCCACCAGGATCCAACCCTGGCTCCAGGGTTGAGAAGTCATTTTCCTTCCTTCAACCTTACTTTTCTGAAACACAGGCTTGGTGACAGGCTCCTTGCCACCCTCTTGGGGTGGCTGAGCCCTGACCACGTGTAGGGAAGCTCGAAAGCTGGGTGAAAAATCCCAAGGCCCACTTAGGGCCCAACCTCCGACGCCAAGTCTGATTCCCTTGTGCATTTTTTGTTTTTTATAGTTGAAGTCTCACTCCGTTGCCCAGGCTGGAGTGCAGTGGCATGCTCACAGCCATCCCAGCGTCGACCTGCTGGGCTCCGACAATCCTTCTGCCTCAGTCTTCCCAGTAGCCAGAACTACAGGTGAACACTACCATGCCTGGCTAATTTTTTATTTATTGTAGAGACGAGGTCTTGCCACATTGCCTGGGCTGGTCTTGAACCCGCGGGCTCAGGCAATCCACTCACTTTGGCCTCCCAAAGTGCTGGGATTACAGGCTGAGCCACTGAGCCTCGTCCCTTTTGCATTTTTATTCCTTTTCTAGCCCAGCCTAGGATCAGGGCCTGAGATGATAAAACGGACTCCCAAAGAGCAAACCTCTTGTTAAACAAAAGAGGGGATAGAGGACCGGAGAAGTTAAGTAAGTTTCCCAAGTCCACACAGTGAGCTGGGGCAGAGCACTAAACTTCCAGATGTCCCACAAGGGCATTTTCCCCACCCAATGGGATCTCCTTCAGGGCAACTTTTGTCCCAGAACAGAGATGAGGTGGGAGGCAGATGTGGATATGCATGCCAGCTTGCCCGCTCACCAGATGGTGGTGTGAGGGTGCTGGTTTTGGGTGTGATGATCATGCCTGACTCACGTGGCTATTGAGAGAACTAAGTGCCCGTACAGCGCCTGCAAAGAGCCTGCCCTCTGCAAACACCAGGGCCTGAGATGATAAAACGGACTCCCGCTAGGAACTGCCTTCCCTGCTTCTCTCTATCCCTGGTCACGTAAGGGACGAGAGGAGAGAGCAAAACTCCCTTTCCAGAGGGGCTCTCATGAGACCCGAACCACAAACCCGAAGGCAGACAGACCAGCAATTGTTCTGTTCACTTTAAGGGCCAAGCCGCTGAGGCCCAGAGAGATCTGGTCTCCCACCCTGTCTGCCTACACAGTTTCCCAGAAGGACCAGGGCCCTCTTGTGCACAGGAAGGCAAAGGCCGAGGGCGCATCTGCCCACCTGCTGCCATGCTGGGTGTGGAGCTCAGGGCTGGCAGTGCTGCCCTGGGCAGGTCTGGCCCAGCCCTCCCCTTGCTGTGCCCTCTCCCCTCGGCATCCCGGGGGCCCAGCATCCAAGGGGCACTTGGAAAACCCGCCTGCCCCCAGACGTCTTGAAATTCTTTTTTTTTTTTCTTGTTATTTAGTTTTTATTTCTCTGCATTCCCACTAGACGTGGAAGGGAATAAGGAAAATATGGAACCCAAAGAATCGTAGCGAGAGTACAAAGATTATAGGGATACTGCAAACAAACGGGATGGAGGGGGTGCTCTCCTGAGCTACAGAAGGAATGATCTGGTAGTTTAAGATAAAACAAGTCAAATTTATTAGAGTTGTCCACAGTCAGCCATGGTGATCTTCTTGCTGGTCTTGCCATTCTTGGACCCAAAGCCCTCCATGGCTTGTACAACATTCATGCCCTCTTTCACCTTGCCAAAAACCACATGCTTGCCATCCAACCATTCAGTCTTAGTAGTGCAGATGAAAAACTGGGAACCGTTTGTGCTGGGTCCAGCATTTGCCATGGACAAGACGCTGGGACCTGTATGCTTCAAGATGAAGTTCTCATCATCAAATTTCTCCCCATAGATGGACTTGCCGCCAGTGCCATTATGGCGTGTAAAGTCACCACCCTGGCACATAAACCCTGGAATAATTCTGTGAAAGCAGGAACCCTTATAACCGAATCCTTTCTCTCCAGTGTTCAGAGCACGAAAGTTTTCTGCTGTCTTTGGAACTTTGTCTGCAAACAGCTCGAAGGAGATGTGGCCCAAGGGTTCGCCGTCAGAAGAACACGGGGGGGGGGGTTTGACCATGGCTGATGGGAAAAGGATCAAGGCGGCGGCGTCTGCAAAGCCATCTTGAAACTCTTTACTGGAAACCTCTCCCTCCACAATTTGTGAATTTCCAGGGGTTGAATGTGAGCTGTAGCCCTGGGGCGACCAGGGCCACAAACAGGGTGGAGAGCGGTAGAGATAGACGGGTAGAGATAGACGGGGGAGCTCAGGCGAGGAGGGGAGGAGGATCTGGCCCATAGGGGCCCATCTTCCAGAGCAGAACTGGGTTCGCATGTTGTGGGGACAAAACACGGGGGGCGGGGAACGTGGAGGCCAGGTGTTAGGTGACACCCGAGCCTTCACACGTCTTGGAGCCCAGCTGTGCCTGCCTCAGGTGCCCCAGCCCCACCATGGTGACCTGCGGGTGAGGCTAGGGAGAGGCAGGGAGGGCTTGTCTTAGGTCCTGGCTCGACCAGGGCCAACTTGGGTGTCCAAGAAGCAAGTCCTCTCCGCAGGGCCCAAGACCCCCTGTCCCTTGAGTCCTGACCCAGCAGACTTCCTGGGTTCCACCGCTGACATAGACCCTCCTTTCCCAGCAGGGCCCCTGGAGGTGCTCTGTCCATTTCTCCCTGGACCGGGCAAATCACCTGGGCATTTCCAGAGCAAGTTTCTTCCTTCCCACCGGGGAAGGGCCTGGGTCTGTATTTCTCCCATAATTCCTCTGGTGCAAAGCAGACCAGACCTCCCTTCACCTTCACTTCTCAGGTGATTTTGGTGGCTTACCTCTTCCTTTCTGTCCTATATGCATCAACCTCCCGCCTCCACACTCTTTTGCCCATGGACAAGTGACAAGCAGAGCCAGAGTCACCTGGTTAGAAAAGAGACTAAAGGGACATTCTCCTTTTTGTGAAATTAATATATGATGTTCAAAGGATATATATATATATATATATATTGAGTTGGAGTCTCACTCCATCTCCCCCGGCTGGCTAATTTTTAAATTTATTGTAAAACGAGGTCTTGCCAAGTTGCCGGGGCTGGTCTCGAACCCCGTGGGCTCAGGCAATTTACTCGCCTCTGCCTCCCAAAGTGCCGCGATTACGGGCTTGAGCCACCACGCCCAGCCACAAAACTGCATTTCAGACGGGGGTCTGGGCTCTCTGGGCCACAGCCGAGCGGTGGGGACAGCGCCTGCAGCCCCTGCCCCACTGGCTGGGGACCTGAAAAGCGGGTGTCCCCTCCCCATTCCAGGGACCCATTCTATTTAGCGGGAGCCGGGCCCAGAGAGATGCTATTGAACACTGGAACCACCACTGTGTCACTGTCCCCATCGTGTCCGTCCTTTTAGTCCAGCAGGACTAACCTACTACCGAAAGCAGGGAAAGTCGTGGAGACAGTCACGTGAGCAAACAGATTGAACAGCGCCGCTGACAGCTCGGCCCCGAGAGACCGCACCGCG